GATGGAGCGGTCCCAGCTATAAAAGATCCCGGTCATGATTCAGAACTGCAGACGGTAAGTGAAACAGCATCAAACGTCTGTTTTGTTGGCATTCGGAACCCAAGTGCTCGTCACTCTTTAGCTCCGCCCACGGTGCGCCTCCAGGAGCTCACTTTTTCCCAGAGAGAATCTAAAGCTGTATCTTTCTTTTATAAATATGATACAACTAAAGACTGTTTGGAGATATGAAGGATGCAGTACTACTCTATAGGTACTCTACTTGAGATTGGGTGAAACTGTATGTGTTTTGGCCCCTTTAAATAAAAGAACTCTTGCACGTTCATCTTCCCCACTGCTGTAACGTTAGCAGTTTTACTAAAATGCTATGCATTTAGCCCTATGTGACGTCTGTTTTTATATTGTTTGTCAGCACACATAGCCTAAGTTACTATGTATCTGGATCAACTAACCAAGTAGACAAATATAAATGTTTATTCATAACCATGCTGAAAATAAGTGAATAATGTTAACTGATGCTAACTGTCTAGCTAACGAGCTTGCTGGTGCTAAATTGAGGTCATTTTTAAAAAATAAAGTCCAAATATTTTTATTCAACCACCTAGATAGATTACATCTGGGGGGAAAAATAAAGGATGTGATGTTCAGAACATGGTAACTAAGTAATTATCAAAGTGGGAAGTGATGCCCTCTGGGGGCATTTGGCCAGGGGTGTTTTTACACCACAGACAAGGTTTGAGAAGAAAAAAATCATTATGAAAATCTAATTATATTTTCCTTATTATATTCATTATTTCCTTGTTGGTTATTTTGGGAAAATCCCAGGTATTTTGATCAGTACGTTTATAAAAAAAATATATGCTAATATAAAATTAAATGATAAAAGTAGCCTATATAAAACTGCAAAATAAACATTCATCTATCGGTACTTTTTAATTAAGTACATAACAAAAATCAAGTACTTTTGTACTTTCACTCAAGTAAAATTGAAAACTGAGTACTTTTACTGGAGTAATATTTTATTATACAGATCTGTACTTTTACTCAAGTACTTGACTTGTGTACTTTGTCCACCACTGTACAAAATAATCGATATTGAATATAACCGCTAATCGAATCAAATCGAATTGCAAGCTTGTGAATGAGAATCAAATCGAATCGTGAAATTTTTGTCAAAACCCAGCCCAGCCTAGTGCTCAGGTGGGAAAAGGAGATAGCAGAGGCTATACTAACTCCGCCCACCAACATGTGGTTGGGTTACACAAGATTACACAAGTCACCTTTCATACAACGACTCCAGTGGCGTAGGTAATAAAGGCCATAATTTTAGCAGTTTTTTTTTGACGTGATCGGCCCGAGTTCGAATCTGCCTTTTGCCGAACTCGTTGTTCTCCCTTTTCACATCACATATCACATCGAAAAGGAATTTAGTTTCAATAAAAAATGTAATTTATTAATTTAATTTATGTATTTAGCAGATGCTTTTATCCAAAGCGACTTACAGTGCATTCAGGCTATACATTTTTTTTTTTTACCAGTATGTGTGTTCCCTGGGAATTGAACCCACAACCTTTTGCGCTGCTAATGCAATGCTCTACCACTGAGCCACAGGAACACAGAAAATGAAGGAAATATTTGAAAAGTGGAAAATAAGGTGCATCACAGATGTTTATTGGTTAAGGTTAGGGTTAAGTGTAGGGATGGCTTTATTGTCCCAAAGTGGCATGCATTTGATAATTTTAATAAAAATTATAATTTACACTTGATACGTTACTATTGCATACTGTTTTATAATATGCTACAATCTATATCACACAAAGAGTACTGTTTTTCTGCAGATATCAGCATGAACACATTTATTAATCATTTTATACAAGTTCAGTAAAGCAATAACTGACTTACATTTTAGAGGTAATATTGCTTGTTTTTGCTCAATTTTGCTAACGAAAATAATTCCAAACAAAGATCACACAGCACTGTTTTGCGTCTCTGAGCAATGGACAGTGTTTACTGTTTACAGCTTTTTGAACGAATCGGTTGAATAAATGATTCAGTGATTCACTCATTAACACAGTCGAATGCTTTGTTTCTGAGTGAATCAGCGGTTTGAATGAATCGGTTGAATCTCAATGACTCACTCATTAACAGTCACTTGCTGCCACCTACTGGCGGTTTTAATTTCACATTTCGACTATTTTTTCATGTTTTAAATTATTTCAGATATCAGTATTCAACATTTTATGTTAAAAACAAAACATTAGACCTGTTTATGCATCTTTAACGGCAGTTTAAATGCATCCATGTCCCCTCTGAGATACATTAAACTGTAGGCTAAATGCCATTTCAGATGCAAATTCCAGAAATAATTTCTTATGTTGGAATGAAAGACACTACCGGATGAAGTGCCTTCTACCAAAGTCATTTTCTGATAAGATATCTGTACTTTTACTTGAGTATGGCTTTCAGGTACTTTATACACAACTGCCCGCAACACCTCGAATATGCTGATCAGGACCATCCCCGTCACCAGCAGACACTGGTAATACGCTGGCAGATAACAGAACTATTGAAATGGTGAAAGAAACAGAGGTAAGCTGAAATATGCCCTTAAAATATCCACAACCCTAGTCTGACCTCAAAAATACTGCTTATCCAAATATTATTACAAGAAGGTGAGCAGGGGTGCAGTGAAGATCCTTTATGTCTTGACATCTGAAATGATGATCACAGCAGTATCTCAGTGAATTGCTGTGATTTAGCTGAGCTATTAAAGGTACAATATATAACAGTAGCACTTGAACTTCAGTGTGCAGTTCACAAAGGCAGACCATCACCATGGATACAGGAGCCGTTCTAATGTTTGAACACGCTTTATCTTGCATCGCTGCTAAAAAAAAAAATATATATATATATATATATATATACTTTTAATAATTTCAATAATTTTAATAATTGGTTTTTTTTGGTCATGTTCTCAGAAAGTGCCTATAAAAATGCCAGTAAAGGTGAATTTTTCTCTTATATTACATGATATCCACTCGTACAGTGTGACAAAGACCAACAGTCTAACCGATGTGTAACCTCTATAATCAAGGCAGGCTGTAGAGACGTTTCATTGTGTTTGGCAGACGTCTCACCTTCATGATCCTGATAAGGGTCCCTGAAGTGTCCGCTGTCTCGAGTTCTGTTATTTATAAACACTGAGCCGCTGACGTTAGCCAGACCCACTCTCAGGTTCTGAGGGATCGGCGTGTAGAACACAGGCATGCTGGAGACCACATCAAACACTCATCCACGCTTCTCCACTTCAGTTTGTGTGGCTTGAGATTAACTGGAGTCTTCCAAGCGCTAACCAGATTAAATCTGAGGAAACAGATGGAGTCTGACAGCAGATTAAGATGTCACCCTCACCATGAAAACCATAGTAACTACAGTTCTACAGCAAAAAAAACAACAAAAAAAACATATTCAGTGTTTCACTTGTTTTTCAGGAAAAATATGTAAACACATATAGATCAACAAAAACATATTTTGAATTAAGTTTATTTTTATATCCCATTAGCAAATTGTTATTTCTTGTTTTGAAACATAAATCTAACTGATTTAGTGAGCTTTATGCTTAAAGCAAGTGCAATATTTATACAATATAGTATAATATATTATGTATACACTAAGTTGATTAAGTTTAATAACAAAAACGTAACTAAGTTTCAGTCACCACTGTCAGCAGAAAATGAAATAAAATGTTGTATATGCATACATCCTTAATTAACTTTTAATAGTTTCAGGAAATATATTTAATATATATTTATATTTAATACAGAATATATTTAGAAAATGCATTTAAGAAAATTAAAATAAATTGAAATATAAAGTGAAAAATACTGTGTGTATGTATGTGTACATATATATATATATATATATATGTGTGTGTGTGTGTGTGTGTGTATACACTCTAAAAAATGCTGGGTTAAAAAGGGACGAACCCAGCATTTGGGTTGTTTTGACCCAGCGGTTGGGTTGTTTTGAACCCAACCGCTGGGTCAAAGCAACCCAACCTCTGGGTCAAAACAACCCAACCGCTGGGTCAAAACAACCCAAATGCTGGGTTCGTCCCTTTTTAACCCAGCATTTTTT